TCTGTACAACATCTCTCGAGGTTGGGTTACACATGACGAAGTGAGTAGTATCGGATAGCCACCTATAAAACAATCATCGACTCTTCGGTCGACAATAACAGATGAACGTGAGTTTTTCCTAGATCGTGATCAATTTACAGAATGTTGATATTGTTTAGATCTTTGGGCACACGGGAATGAAGGGCGGTCCCGGTGGAGGTAACACAGCTCAATGGGCGGATTATCCTGGTAAGTGAACGGGATGGTTTCGTGAGTTATACTTTTACTAAGTTGCATATATAGAATCTGCGGTTTGGATGGTACTTCTAGTTCCTCGTTGTTTCAGCTTTCCATGAAAGTTGAACGTCTCGTCTAGATGCTCCATGTTTGGGATCGATTTGACTACTCGAACGACGTCGATTGGTGGCGCGCTCAAGGATGGCCGCTTCTAAAGGTGAGTTAACTTATTTAGCTAGTATCATACGAAGTTGATCGATTTTCCCCTCGTACAGAGCGTTGCCTCCTTCCATTTAGATAAACTTATCCCGGATGAGCATTTCAAGGATGGAACCCTTGTCGTGGCGCCTTGTAATTCACCTGAGCAGGTCCCTATTACTCTAGGTGCGCCAAGTTTTGTGAAATTTCAGAAATTTAAAAAGTATCAATCCTTTGTGGGTCTGTCTGTCGTTTGTAGCTTGTGCTCATGCCCAACAACTGATCTGGCAACTGTTTAATGCTGTGGAGAAGGGGTTCAATGCCTCCGGCGATACCGACGTTGCGTTTCTTGAAGAGGTACAGACTAAACGCGCTCAGATGGACAAGGGACTTCGGATCGGCTGGTGGGGTCAACTACAAGGTGGGCTTGCTTTGATGCTTGTATCTTTTTCTCACTCTCATGCTTGTTTAACAGAATGGAAAGTCGACCTCGATTCACCGACAGACACACATCGTCACTGTACGTCTTTTCCTATAAATTCCAATAGCGAATTTTAATCACATTGTTCATCGTTGTGGAAACAGTATCTCACCTAATCGGATTGTACCCAGGCTATGCCATTTCTTCATACGATGTCGACCTTCAGGGCGGCCTCGTAGTCAATGGAACAGATGTCACGTACACCAAGGAGGAGGTCATGGATGCTGCCACAACTAGCTTGATTCATCGAGGGAACGGGACCGGGCCAGACGCGGATGCGGGCTGGGAAAAAGCATGGAGGGCGGCTTGTTGGGCACAGTTGGGAAATGCGTCTGAGTTTTACCATGAATTGACTGTATGTCGTTTCCTTGCTCTAGATTTTCTCTGACACTCAAATTCTGCCGCTGCTCAAAGTATACTATCTATGAAGACTTTGGTCCGAACCTGTTCAGTCTGTATGATCCTGGCGACACCGACCCGATCTTCCAAATTGACGCTAACCTTGGGTTCCCCGGTGCCGTCCTTGTGAGTTGGAATTACCAAGGGTCAAGGTTATTTTCACTTACAACATCCATCTTTTCTATTTCCTAGAATGCTCTTTTACAAGCTCCAGACGTTGCTTCATTTGATGTTCCATTAAAAATCACTCTCCTCCCGGCCCTCCCACAAGATAAATGGTCTTCTGGGCATCTTAAGGGTGCGCGTACGAGAGGAGGTATAGTCGTGGATCTGGAATGGGACGAGGGTGAACCCACGACGGTAACCCTGACAGTGGATGATATTCCGATTTCGTCCTCAAGAAGTGTGGAAGTTGTTTATGCAGGGAAGACTGTAGGTTCATTCGTTACTAAACCGAATTTGAGCACCACCATACAAAATTTTTGAACTCGTATGTACCAAACTGTGCATGTATCATCTATCCTTTTCAATTTTGTCCCAGCCAGAATAATACACCATCAGAGCAATAATTTGTGTATGTGCAGAGAAATCAGTAAGATTTCACAGAGTTTCACGATGGTCGTGAAGAATGGGCCCCATCGATGTGAGTAACACAGGAAGATTTTGGGCCTTGAGACCTGAATTTGAGCCAGTGAGAGAGTTATCAGAGAGACTCAAACGTTGATCTCTCACAGTGTCGTGTGTGTATAACAAATGCTTGAGAACGTTGAAAGAGAAACGAAAAGTCCAATGCCTCGAAAAGGAAATAAATTTCGGGCCCGAAACTCTTGAAATAGAGTACGGTACCACCTGCCACTGATGATCATGGGCTTCAATTTTGTTCAGCGCTGTTGGTTCCTCGCAGTACGAGGAACATTGAAATGTATATTTCCAGGGACTTGAGCAAATAAAAAGATAGATATACAAGAACTTTACTCTTTCTCCAAAGAGGTTTTAACTCTTATTCCAGAAATACCTCCCCAGTCATCGATCTCTACGGTCTTCTAATCTAGTACAGTTATGTCTGCGGCCCAGGACTCATCTGTCAAAGCCAACTTCGCAACTACTTCCCGTCTTCTATCTTGCTTGGTCACCGAATCACTTTCTCGCGCGTTGTATTTCCCTCTCACTGGGTTCGAAGCGACGGGCTTTTGTGTTTTGCTTTCTGGCAATGTCTCCTCTCGACCACCACAGCCGATCGATGTTCCTTATCAGCCTACTGATATTCTGGCCATAGTTTTGCTCAAGCATGTTCCTGTGTTCAAGCACGATAGTGCTGATCCTCGCGGTCAAGAGATAGGGCTTTTAGATCCGATGGATATGCTTCCTCTCACTTTGGAATTTGTACAAGAAATTCACGATGAAGATGATACTGTCAGTCATCTGAAAAACCATTTTATCGGTCAGATGCATCAGCTAAATCGATGATGCTTTTCTAGCACTTTGAACTGGAACAGGCCCTCTTTGCTCGGTTGACCGCTCCAGGATGGCAATTTCCTGCACAGTCAACAACCATCGTGCCTTCTCTTGATCCACTTGTGCTCTGGGACAAGTTTGCCAAGAGTTATGACGTTCAGGAGGATATGTCAAAGGAAATAGCGGAAGAACTCGAAAGCTCTGTTCGATGGCAAAGTACGTTATATCCTACGCTTTGTTCTCAAGTTGCTCATGGAAGAAATGAATAGAGTATTCATATGAACACCCTCCAAAAGCCCCTCTCTTTTCCTCTTCAAGTATTGAATGGGAACAGTCTATCGTTGAAGGTCATCCAACACATCCAGTTAGTACATAGCACATACCCCATCTTCTCTTCGAACTTACACAAAATATTCCCATTCCCTACAGATGCACAAAACCCGAGCATTCCTACCTCCGATGCAAGATATTTCTCCAGGCTCCTACGACTTATATCACCCCAACCTTCGATTTGTTGCTCTCCCCAAATCGAGTCTCAAAATCACTTACGAATTTGAACAGCTTACTGAACCGCTTCGACAAGCTGTAGCCCAAGTCGTCGGAAAAGAGAAATTAGATGTACCCGCGGATCACCTCGCTATTCCTGTGCATGAGCTTCAAGTTGCTCATATCCAAGATAAGTTCAAGGAAGCCTTCATATACCCTCCTGAATTCAGTTTGCCACTTCTCGCGCAACAAAGTATTCGGTGAGTACTCGATAAGCTTCTTGCCTCCAACTACGCTGGATCACTCAGTAACGTATACATTCTTCAATTTCTTACACACAGCTCCGTTGTCGTCTCAAACATCTTCAAGACCCTCTCGCTGAAGCTCGGTGTCGGAATCAAACTCACATCCGCCGTACGAACCATTTCCCCCGCCTCAGCCTACCTCGGACCCCGTTTCTCTGCTCAGGTTGTCCCGGCACTCACCATGGACCATAGCCTCCTCACCGTTGCGAAAGAACTATCCTCGGTCGTCTCCGCTGATCCTGAAAGTGAAATTGCCAAACATTGCGCTGCAATTGTCAGGGAGGCGCATGAACTTGGAAGTGAAGAGAGGGGGGAGAGGTTGATTGTATGCACGGCGTTGGTTGAGAGCGGGCATGCTAACACGAGTACGACGGCGACGGCAGAAGACGAGGATACCAGTAGTGTTCCTGCTGTCATCCGCGTATTCGAGCTAGACACGGAAGCCAACCGGCTTAAATGGCTGGATGAATTCGTGAACGTTTTCTTCAAAGCATTTCTCCCTTCCGTCTTGCACAACGGCGTCGCGTTCGAAGCTCACCCGCAAAACTGTCTTGCTCGTTTTAGTCTTTCGACAAAGCAGATCCTTGGCTTCGTCATTCGGGATTTCGGCGGCATCAGAGTGCATCCTCCTACGCTACTCGCTACGACTGGTGTAGAGCTCGACGCGGTGTCAGGCCATAGTATCATCGCGCCTGATTTAGATGATGTATATGCGAGGATGTACCATACGGTGATACATAATCATTTGCAGCAGCTTATCAGGGTGCTGGGATTGCATTATAATGGCAAAGGATGGGAGGTTGTGAGGAGGAATTTGGTGGAGATTATCCCTAGGGATCATGCGCTGTACCAAGCGTGGTTAGCGCCGGAGAGGAAGACGTTCCCGGGGAAGTGTTTCATGAGGATGAGGATGCAGGGGATGTATAGATTTGTGAGTTTCGTTTTTTTATGTCGAGATGTGGTTTGTTATGGGGTATTGATTTTGTTTCTCTTCTTTTGCGTTGACATCACAGCATCTTCACGGACCGTTTCCAAATTTGATTCACTATAAAGGCGTGACTGAAGGTCTAGAGGCGTAACTGAAAATGACTGCCAAAGCATCGAAGCACAGAACTTAGCTGACTGGTGTGTACTTAGTTGTGTCACGAATACTAGTGTATTATTGTTCACGGTAAGTTGATCCTGGGGCATAGAACGTTCTGGTTATGAAGGTCCTTGAAAATCTAGAAACTGGCACGGACTTCTAAACGTTGCAGACCTGATAGTCCAGTCCTTGTTCTTTTTTTTCTCCTCGTTTATTCGTCTGTGCGCGGATGCGTATGTATCGCAACAGTAACCCTTCTATTCGATAATCGACGCCTTCGTACATAAGCTATGGTGAGAAGGAACCAGCGGCTGGCCTGAAATGTTGTAGATCCCGCATGTAAATGGGAAGGAAAAACTTCATCGTAAGCTGTTTAGGGCCTGACCGGGAATTGAACCCGGGACCTCTTCCATTGAAGTGAACTGTTCACCAGGCTTCATAACCCGAAGGAAGAATCATACTTCTAGACCATCAGGCCATACGTTGGCGTTCTATCCAAAAATATTCAATAAGCAGTCCGAGGTCGGCTGATCCACATATCGAATCGAATCATGTTCCAACCTCGAAAGGATAGTATTCTCGATATGAACACTCTGAAATTCGACCTAGTCAAAGCTGATCAGTTAGAACGAGCAATTGAGCTAGAATTGGATGGTGAGTTCTAGACGGTTCCTCAGTCACTGGTCATTCTTCTTTTGCTACCCATGATTGCTTTTCAAAATATCGCATATTGACGATTGGCATTGACATATAATCCTGGCGTATATGTTGTATGGGGCGTAGGATACCCTGCCGAAGAAGCTGCATCGTTTGAATCGTTTCGGTGAGTTCTCCTTTTGTTGAGTCCACATTCATCTTCCACTATCGGGACCTCTACTCATTCATTTTTTTTTGTAAGGCTGCGACAATCCCAAGCACCCGAACTCTTCTTTGGCGCGTTCAAGTTGAAGCAGGGCTCATCTCCTGACGCATGTTCTTCAAATATAAACTTCGAACTAATCGCATACATCTGTGGAACCCGGTCCTCTGCCTCTCACTTAACTCATTCCTCCATGACTCAGCACGTCCCTGATGGGTCGTCGGTATGCATACATTCTGTATGTGTATCAAAGGAATACAGACGACAGGGCGTTGCATTGGCATTATTAACCGAGTATGTACAGAGATTAAAACTCCAGCGGAGAATCTCGGTCCAAGATGACTCGGAGACTAAGCTAGAGATCGAAAGGATTCTCCTGATAACCCACGAAGAGTTGATTCTGCTGTACGCTAAAGCCGGATTCGAGCTTGTAGGGGAGAGTAGTGTGAAGCATGGCGAGAGAGTCTGGTACGAGATGATGTTGAACTTGTCATGAGATGGGTGGGGTTCTTTCCACAATCGGTTTCACCGTGTACCTCCATTGTTTAGCTTACTGCGCAATCAAATAAATGGATCATCCTTTGGTGAGTACGGAAAGCCGGAATCAACAGGAGTCGACCGAATGCTCGCCCTTGTGCCAGATGAGGTGAATTTCTCTTTTGCCACCTCTCATTTCGGGACCTTCTTTTGGAAGGAAGGGGTTGGTACAGATATAGACACTTACTTTCCAAGGTCAACTCCATTGAAGCAAGGACTATTTTGTGTTCATCCTGCCTTGAATCAGCCTCTCAAGATCCCTTCTCAAATCACTCAGTCTCCTGCGCTCAATGTTAGAAGTTTTCCTTGTGTTTCCATCCTTGGTCAACAGAAGCCCCCTCGTTGTTTCGTCCGAGTCTTAGTAACATACATGGCATTAGATATCTAAATATTGCTTGACAATAGTATAATACGAGTAAATCTACGCTATCGACAATGAGGGCGAGTTATAAAAGTTCCCATAAAAACATATTCATCGGATGTCAATTTTGTCCACGCCTTTATCGATTCTTGAAATCCCAGTTTTAGCACTTGGCGCTAAAGGGCGGAGTTTTAAGGCATTGGACCCACACACGCTATTGAACTTTTCTTCAAGCCACCTCATGCTCCGAGCACTTTTGTATATCCCCTGGAAGCTATGGACCCTCTTTCCCGACTCCTTGCGCCGCCGCACTTACTTATACATTGCAAAAAATTGGGGTATAACGCACATTTGGAACGTTACACGCTTACCCTTCGGTTTGGCATTGAAGCGTACACATAATCGTTCTCCAGACATTGAAGCTAATAGTATACGCTTCGTCCGTCGTAACACCACGATACCTGTTCCCGACGTGCTCGACACCGTTCCTCCTGACGGTAAAAACAATTCTGGCCTTTTGCTCACATCATGGATAGAAGGCGAAACTCTATCTTCATGGATTCAACGACATCTACTCTGGCCTGCTGGATTTCAGAAGAACGCGGATGTAATACTTTACTCCGATTCACTTGAAGAGCAGGCGGATGCACTAGCAAATTTGAAGACAATGTTCCCAGAGGTGAATGTACCGGATGATCACACATTGCTCGTTGAACTTCGCGACGCTTTGACTCAAATTCGGTCTCTTCCTGCTCCACTCTCTGCCCCTCAGATATGCAACATTAATGGTGGTCCCACGATTTGGGCACGCTGTAGAGACCGATGTCTTCTTCCCCCTGTCAACACTATCACTGAATTCCACGAGCTACTTTTCCAACAAGTCTCTTGGACAAGCCGTCTTGAACGGCTCCGACTCATTGCCAAACCCGTCCATTCAAGAGATTATCGTATCACATTCACTCACTCTGATTTGAATCCTGAAAACATTCTTGTCAAAGATGACCACCTTGTTGCGATCATTGACTGGGAATTCGCAGGGTGGTATCCCGAATATTGGGAGTACACCCAACTGGTCATGCAGAATCTGCACATAAGGCCGCAAGAGGAGTTCTGGAAACGTGTTGGATTTTTTTCTGGGCAATATATCGAAGAGTTGAAGTTGGAACGTGCTCTCTGGCATAGTACTGGTGATATGTCCATTGCACCAGGCGTCATTCCCGACGATTATTTGGATCAACCAATGTAAAGTAAGTTGTTTCGTTACATTGAGCAAATCGGATGTTGTAAAATTTACTAGCTATATATATACATCTTTGCTTTTCACGACCAACGCTCTGCCCGTGTGGATTTTATTTGTACAGGCAACCGCTCCCTCCCCAAATATTCCAGTCCTGTAGTCTTCGTCAGTAGCTCTGCCTCAAGAGCATCTACATCCGGACAGTTCACAAACATGCCGGATGCATGAATCTGGCGAATTGCTTCCTTAAACCAGACCCTGCAGGTGAAGTTAGGCTCTTTTTGCTGATCTTTCGGAATGATAATCATAGGAATATCTTTAACATAGGCTTCGAGGTATCCAACATCAAAATCCTCATGCAAGTGTCCGATCAGTGTGAATGTGACTGCTAGCTCCGACTTGGGTCCGTTCCATTCGACGCACTCGTATTCCCAGGGTGTTGTGCCCCCATGAGTTGTTGCGTGAATTTTATATCCGCTGTCGTTGTCCTGCGGGACTTTAGTTGTATGCTGTTATTATCGAAGCACAGACTCACAATGACAAGGTATATAATCCAATGAAAGCTACCTGGCACATTCGATCTTGCGAGGGCAGCATAAATGTCGTTCTTTCTGAAAAACATTGGCCTTATCGGTCGGTCAGTATGGATATCCAAGGATCTTTTTAACTACTTACATGACAGCGCGTGGTTGGTCTGGGTCCTAATATCCTTTCTCAAGCTGCAAGTATTCAGTACTGAGGCTCTAATCGCAAGCTTCAGGCAAGGCAAGGAAGTATGTTAGACTCACTGTCAGGCAAACAAAACTGAATCTTCCAACAGGTATGGAGGTGCAAACTGTGGGGAGATGATGGGCGAAAGTAGGGAAGATGTAAGCTCAATCCCATAGATTTATACCGAGTGCATTTGGAGGTTGTAATAACCGCTCATCATTTGATAAGTATCATTGCTGTAACTGAGAGATTGGACCCACTGACATTCGGGTGCGATGAAAAAAAGTGAATGGAAGGGTGTTCCTTACTCGTCACTCCAGCGCGCATGTCGCTGTTTTCTGCGTCATTATCTTTTCCTTTTCCTCAGGTTGCCTTCCTGCCACTGTACACCACACTTTGTAACACTGTTATAATATAGAAGCAAGCAATGAAACTGTATTCCACTGAGCGCAGCATTTGAGTGTGGTTGGAGCAAAAACTTAAGGGATTAAACAAAATCCTACCCAACACTGAACAGGGGTGTGGTTGTGATAGGATGTACTTAAGCAGAAATGAATAACAAATATATGTAAGGTGAGTTCCGGACTGAACTAGCGCCAATTCTCAAAAATGCGGGCCAATATCATCTGAGTGATAAGGGAGAGCAATTAGACAAGAGAATAAATGCGTTGGATTCTTCTCTGGGCCATGTAACGAAGGGCTCAAGTTGGAATGTGCTTTTGGGCATATTACTAGTGACTTGTCTAGTGCAGAATGACATTCCCAATGATCATATGATCCGGTGGATCACTGCAGATTATGTCTCTGCACTAAACTGAGCAGTATTGAAATGCTAATCGAGTTAGCTAGTAAATACCATATATAAATTTACTTTTCAAGACCAAGGTTTTGCGCATGCACTCGTTCCCTGCACAGGCAGCCGCTCATCGCCCAGATATTCCATTGCTGTAGTCTTCGTTAGTAGCTCTCTCTCAAGAGCATCTACATCTGAACAGTTCACAAACATGCCGGACGCATGAATCTGGCGAATTGCTTCCTTGAACCAAACCCTGCAAGTGAATTTTGGCTCTCTTTGCTGATCTCTCGGAATGATATTCATAGGTATATCTTTCACATATGCTTCAAGGCATTCAACATCAAGGTCCTCATGCAATTGTCCGATCAGTGTGAATGTCACTGCTAGCACGAATTCGGGTCCGTCCCATAGGACGCACTCGTATTCCCAGGGTGTTCTTCCACCGTGAGTTGTTGCGTGAAGTCTATATCCCGTTTTTTGATCCTAAGGAGAATTTAGTTGATAGGGTGCTTTTTATCATTCATTACTTGATATAGGCTCACAATAACGAGGTATATAGCCCAATGAAAGGCACCTCGTACATCCGATCTCGTGAGGGCAGCATAGATGTCGTTCTTGTTAAAAATCATTGACCTTATCGGTTGGTTACTATGGATATAAAAATCTCTCTCCAACCACTTACATGAAAAGCCGTGTCGTCTGTGAAATATTGTAAAGAGGTGCAGACTTTGGTATGATGATGGGAGCAGAAGGGATTGATCTCATAGATTTATGGAGGAATTAAAGTTAGATGTTTGTCAACCACGTGTTCCAGAAAGAGGACTTTGAAAAACTATTTCTAAGTACAGTAGCTTTCCCAATAATGCCCTTGGCTTTGGAACAACGATACGAGAAAGCAATATATCGACTTCAAGTTCATCCTTGCCTGCTGTGAAAATCTTGGCTCAAAAATAATCACAGTTAAATCTGGATCTCCA